GTTAAGTTTTTAAACAGTAATTTGCTATTGCAGAAATGTTGAAAAGTTTGCTACCTAGAATTGGGTGTTTCAGTGCAGGGAAATTGTTTAATGAAACAACCAATCGGTGTTATGTTAAGAGATGTAATCTATTTTTTTATTTTATTTTGACATAGAGCCAACGCAATGATTGGCGTTGTTTTATAAAGGCATGGAGTTGAGCTAGCAACTTTCAAAACAAGAGTCCCGGGCTTATAGATACATGACGAAGGATACATAACCTAACACTGCTATTTTGTGTCCCTAGAATAGGACTTTTTCAGGGATTATATTTTAACCAAGGACCAAAAAAAGAGTGTTCAATTTTGTGACATTTTGTTGTAAATTTACCGACACTGGACTAATTTTCCCAGGTAAGCTAGCTGGACTCCCAATTCTTCCCAAAACAGTTTCCTTCCACAATTTGTTGTAGTGTTTATTATTTTCTATATTTTTGTTTTAATTTTGGTGTAATTCAAAATGTAAACTAAGTTTGTAGTAGCTATAAGCTATTTGCTGTGTCTCTTAGTATTTTTCATTTTTAACTTAATATTTTCAATTTTGTCTGATTTCGGTAATCATAGATTATTTGTCGGTATTATCAAAACTAAGAATTGGTGTCAATTCTTTACTGATTAACAAAACATTTAAATTAAATTGTTCGGAAGATGTTTCCCTAAACTAATTTTGGGATCAGTCTTGGAATAAAAGTATTCTAATTTTGATTCTGTAGATCATATTTTTGCTAATTATATAATGTGCACTTTGTTCAACCCAAAAAATTTTTTGTTTAAAACCCTTTTTTAAAAAAAACTATTGTTTTTTGTTACTGTTGCCACTGACTTTTGTTTTATCATCATTAGTTTTGGCTTTCTTGTGTATTTTGTAATATTCTGGATTTTGGTGAGACATAAAAACTATTTATTACTGTAAGTAATCTATGTATTTTATTACCATTAAAAAAATGTTTCATGTGTTATTCATAGGATCTTATTTTGTAGTCCTAATGTTATTTTTTACTAAGTCTATTTATAAAGTTGTAAAATAAAAATTGTTTACTGTAACTAACTTTTTAATATACCTTGCTAAAAATTGTATCAAACCTTTTAGGTTTTTCCCAGATGCATAAGTAGAACAAAATATTACACAGAAGTAGTGGACTTTACTGAATTGTTTTTGGCCTACGATAGATAATTAGGTGTGATTATTGGAAGTTCAAATGGGCTTGACAGATGACGAGTGAGCCAGTTTTGGTTTCTAGTCTGTAGTGCGCCAGAACGTGAAACCAAGACGAGATATCATGGGTTTGCCTCATGGTGCCATTAAAAACTTATCAGTCAGTTCATTCTCGTATTGTAACAGGAAATGTTTGTAGAAAACATTAACACTAATACCGGAACCCCCGGTCTAACAGGCCCACGGGAATTTTCAAAAATGCATGTTGGCAACACTGTTTACTTGGGAGATTCCATTCCCCCCTTTTCTTCTCCTACCTATTGATATATTGTTTGTTCATTTTGCATGGGTGCCGTGACCTTGACAGGGCCCTGTTTCATAAAACTACTAGTCTAGTATTTACTAGTCCATGGACTAGTAATACTAGTGTATTTTACAAGTCCACGTTTTAAAAACCTACTAGTGTAAAATACTAGTTACTAGTGTAGGGACTAGTATTACTAGTGGTTTTTACTAGTGTAGACAGCAATGTGTTTCATAAAGTTTTACTCTTGTAAATTACACTGGTAAATACTTGCCATTTTCTAACAACCTCTCTACACCCGTATTATTTGAAGTAGACTAGTATTTTTGGAAAGAGAGTTATTTCATTACTCACATCATTTAAAAAAATTAATTATTAAGTTCTTTTTGCAAGTGCGAATTGGCTCACGTTTGCAATTTAAGATAAAAATAGATCTATGAGTGCTAAAATGATAATTATTATTAGATATAAATTACAATCAATAAATGTGGCGTAGTACAAAAAGAGTGAAATTGAATTTTATAATGTATGTACAATCGCCCTATTAGAATTAATTATAATTAAAGGTTATCAATTTCTGTGAAATTTTAGTCTAATTTTACTTGAGTTAAATTTCATGGTTGTATTAACTATTTAGCTATCACAGAGAAAAGATTTTTAAGCTTTGAGTTTGAGAGAAACCAAATTAAAACCGCATACCATATTGCATACAAAGATGTACAAAAATGTATCCAACATTGCAACATTAATCAGATTATTTTACACCCAAGGCTCTCGGTTTTATTTGAAGACATTTTAATAGGAAATAATAGTAAGACAATTTTAGAGAGGAGTTGCATTGTATTTTTTTAGGTGCTTATTATTTGTTTCCCTAAATAGCTAAAACCCTGTGATGTACTAACAATTTTGTAGGCCTATATTTGATTTTTGGGCGTTGGACTGAACTGCTTATCATAAAAACATTACTTTTAATCCATTTTGGTATTCTGAATTTGTTATTCAAAGTAATAAAAAAATTAGATGTTGATTAGAGCTGTTATTTAAATGGAAAACATGTAAAAGTTTAATTAATGGAACTAAAGTATAGTGAGTGGTGCGGATTTGAACCAGGGACTCACCACATGAGAAGCGAAAACTCTACCTCTGAGCTACGTCCTGCAATAGCGCATATGCCATGTTTTACTATACTGTACTTGAAAACCTACTTCTCCATTGCTTGTAACGGCGTTGCAATTATTTGTTACATCAATAAACGTTTAGGCTTATTATTCATGGTTTGTAGACTCAAAATTAGAATATCACAGAATGGTTTCTAACCCAAATATTCTTATGCATTCGAATATTTGAAAACATAGGTTAGGGTACTTGAAAACGTTCCTAACAAAATGTCCTTATAAGATTCAATTACATTCAAAATTTGAGCCTTCTTTTCTTTACTCATAGCAAGCTTAATTTTATATGTCAGAATAAAACAAAAACTATACAAATCACAGCGAATGCGGCAGACACAGATCAACTTCCACCCAACAGTTGAGCGCCGCAACTAGGCCTACAATCACCTGTTGATTGCAGCGACGCGACGCCGCGCCGGCGGGCTCATTGATGAACATAAATAATAGCGGTTTGATAAATAATGTGTGATTGTTTTACTTGTGTGTCTATATATTTATTAATTAAAAGAAAACACTGCGTTTCTACAACTATTTACTTCTTGTATCAAATGAAAACAAAATTAAAACCCTTTATAAAGGGTTTGAAAACCCGTGATTGAGGTTAGAAATTTGTTTTGAAAGTTTATACCTTTTAAAGTTGGTCACGTGACTAGTAGTTTCGGTCACGTGACTAGTAAAATACACTAGTATTTACTAGCGGTATAAAAACGTTTATGAAACACAAATTAGTAGGACAGGTAAATAAGGGACTAGTATTTACTAGACTAGTAATTACTAGACTAGTAATTACTAGACTAGTATCTTTATGAAACAGGGCCCAGGTTGTCTGTTCATAACATGCCCGTCTCAGAAGCTCATCGTTGGTGTATTTTAAAGTGGGGTCTCACAGGCCGAGGGTTTCGGTTTGTGTGTGTCTAAGCGAGGTCCATTATTTTTGAAATGGGGTCTCACAGACCGGGGGTTTCGGTTAACGTCAGCCTAGGTAGGGTTTCGTTATTAGTGTTAAAAACTATGCAATACCAGGTAATGAAATATGATAAAATATTTACAGGAAATGTTGATTACTGTTATACACATCGTATCTCCATGAGTTACACACCAGTAATTTTTTAGTTGACTCTGTGGACTCATTGTAAATATGACTGTTTTGAAATAACTTCTGTAATACTTTACAATTGCTCGAATTGGAGCAACATGTACACTAGTAAATATTATTACAGAACTTCACAAATATCAGAACAGACTCACTATAGATCATTAACATAAAAACATGACGTAAATGAAAGAATCCTATACTAATGACGTTACCAGTTCCATTTAATTAATTTTAAATAATGTTTACATTCAGGCGAGTGACATCATTTTTGTTATGTTTATGATTCATACCCTTTCTGTTCCAATATCAGTGCAGTATTTAATATGTTTCAACCAGCTGTGTGGAAATGTGAAATCAAATTATTTAAACTTTGTCAGATTGTACTTTGTTACCATGAAGACCAATGAATTTACTTTTAAATCCCTCACCTCCTTAGGTCAATATCGATGGAGGAATAGTTCTATAATATATGTATTCTCGGAGCGGTAGCTTTATTTTTGTCGAATTTGAGCCCAGTCGGTTCAGTAGTTAAGTTTTTGAGTTTAGCTCATACAAACACACAGACAGACAGACACCACCTCTTCTTTATAATAGTATAGATAGATAAGATAGATAGGTAGATAGATACAGTAGACTCTTATCCGGACTCCTCGGGACCCAGGCCAGTCCGGATAACGGTTTTTCCGGTTAAACCGAGGTTCCCAAAAACTCATTAAAACAGACTGTTTAAATGCATACTGTATACAGTATTTGACTTAATTTTAGGAGAGCATTGTATTTAGACACGTGATCACTGGTCTGAATTCTTTCCCACAAGAACAGTCATTTCAGTACCGCCCACTTCCTGCCGATCTAGTCTGGTTAAACTGATGTGCTGATAAAAATTGTCCGGTTAAAGAAATGTCATTTCCGGCGAGTGTAGTCCGGTTAAAAGGTGTCCGGGTAAGAGGGAGTCTACTGTAGATGGATAGAAATATAGATAGATTGTTCAAGCTTTTTCCAAGGATTTTCTACAAGGGGTGTCCAACAACCATTGAATACCACTGCATTTCTTATTTTAATTTAATCTGGCCTTTCATTAACTTTACCGAATTTAATTTACAATCAATCAGGATTGAGGGTTAAGTGTATATTGTAGATTCCTGAGAAAGTCTTCAAATGGTGGAGGAAAACAATTAAAATAATGTATTGATTAAATAATAATTTATTTTGTGGATGGCACAGTTTATAAAAAATAAAACTTTAAAAACAACTCTAATCAAACATATTTTTAATGCAATCATTGTATGTGCTTAGAAAAAAACTATTTATGGATTTGTACAGTTTTAAAATTAGTCAAATATATAACTGAACAATTCATACCAAGCAAGTATTAAATTTCCAATTCTACATTTTATCTAGGAGATTACAAAACGCAACGAATCACATTAGATTCAATAAGTAAATTTCTGTAAAATTAAAAACTGTTAAAACTATTAAGTATAAGGTACTTGTGTTATCTTACAAATTAAAATGCAATTAACAAAATCTAATTTAACTTAAAACTATAATAAATTATAATACATACATTGCTTAAACAAGCGCAAAAATTATGAAAGGGTTATCACGAGACATTGCTATAATGAATTCATGGTACATTTCTTTAAAAATCCCTGTATTTCTAAAAAAAATTCCTTTGTTTAAAGAAAGTCATACTCAGTATGATTTTGCAAGAGTTGAACGTGGTGCAATAATTAAATAAATAGCATAACCAATTTTAAGTAACAACACATAGAAGTAAGAAACAGAGGATACATTCAATGGTCCACTTAAGTGGTGTCTAGCACCAGTTGCTGGTGTCTAAAGCAAATTCTATTTGTCATTCTCTTCCGCTCTCCTTTCCCACTCGCCATCACGAAAAAAAGCTGTACGTAAAACCCTGTGTGCTACAACTGCTGTACAAAAACGCTGTGTGGCCATCAGTGTTCAGGATCTTCCTGGCTCATTAAGCCCCGTTTCCATCAAACATTTTGTACCAACAATGTTGGGAGCTAAGTTCAAGTTGATTTGAGCACAGCTCCCAACAATGTTGGCGCGCTGTTTCCATTCCAGCAGTACGCGCCAACATTTCGCGCCAACATTTCCCGCCAACCCCTCCTTCTACTGTGAGCACATTTCACTACCATCCACGGGTCGCCGGAATTTTATCCCCCTGGAATTTTACCCCCTGGGCAAAGCTGACGTCACTATGACGTTGTAACCTGAGTGGCCAAAAGTTTGTTCGCGGCCGGAATTTTACCACCACGGATTTGGAAGTCTAATGAAAATAGTCAGAGCGTGATTAATTAGATTAGCGATGAAAACCGGAATTGTACTGTCCATATAACTAGCGTTTAGACAACTGAAGATGTACGGGCCGGATTTTTACCCCCGGAATTTTAACCCCGGAATTTTACCCCCGGAGTTTTACCCCCCGGAATTTTACCCCCTGGCCGATTTTAGAAATTGAACGACTGATTTTCTTATTTCTGTTTTTAATTAACTGTAAACATTTCATTATTTAGTCAGGGTATCTTTATTTATTTATTTTGTAATCTCAACTAAGTAAACAGAATTCGTTGTTTTATTTTGATCATATTAACAACAGTTGGCTTCAAAGATCAAATCCTGATAAATGCATCTCAAAATTAAAATTAAAAACCTGTTCGATTAGTTAATGTTACAAATACAAAGATATCAACTTTAACACTTCGTCTTTTCCCCAATATTGACTTGACATCGCCATGGCCTCACCATACCGTCCAAAAGCCCAACACAACAAGTTACACCGACACTACACAAGAATGTTTACACCATAAACAAAAACACGTGGTGTTGTTGGTGTTTAACCCGTCTGCTAGGCTAGAGGTGCGATGGTGCTGCGGTGGATGTGCGGCGCGGCGTCTGCTCCTCACAGAGCAAGTGCGCATGCGCGAGTTCTGCTCACAGCAATGTTGGCAGCTGGACACCGTTTCCATTACCTTTTGAGCACAGCTCACAACAATGTTGTCAGCTGCAACGGCTGCCAACACTTTTTGTTGGCCAACACTGCTCAAAACATTATGCTAGTGTTTCCATTCAACATTTTACTCCAACTTTATTGTGAGTTTAGCTGACAACAATGTTTTGAGCAGAAAATGTTTGATGGAAACGGGGCTTTACAAGTACATTTCCGCCCCAAAATACCAGATCTAAAAGCGCAAGTTTGTCCCACAAGCTTGTATCCTCTGTGGGAACAACATGGCTCTAAAAAAGAGCATTATCTAATGAAAAGTTACGTTTTTGAAAAATGTTTGGAATATTGTTGTCTAATAAAGTTTGAGACTATTAGCTTATAGATACTGAAAACAATCAAATGGATCTTCTCTTAACTTCCTTCACAAGGACGAAATAAATATACAGTGTAATGTATTTTAGTAAATAAGCCCTTATAATCTACATCTTAAATGTTGAATTCAATCCCTTACAAAACATGTTTGCAATTAACTTTAGTAGGGTATTCTGAAGTAGATTTTTATTTAATTTGGTAACTATTTTGTTGATATTTATTAATGTTTTACACTTCTGTTATCAAAATGTTAAGATATATTCAATTATAATTAGTTAACATAACCCTAAACTACTTAATATAACTATTCTAATAATAAATAATGAAATGGACTAGTGAATTAGGCAAGACTTAAATGAAAATAGTATAAGAAAGTAAAAGATAAAGTAAAAAAAAAAACACAGAGATTCTTTCTTTTAACATTGTCAAAAGCTTACAGATCATCAAGAAAGACAAAATAAAATATGCAATAAAATTGTAACACATATAAACAATATAATTAAAATAACTTACTCGTCTTAACATTTCTAGTAAAAAGATTATCAAACAAAATATATTAAACTTCATATAAAACTAATCAAACAATAACTGTTAATGATCATATTATGATTGTGAGGTTTAACTCGGGGTTTAACTAAAGGATTACTGTTGACTATTCTGGCCTTAATCACAAAATAAGAATTCTGCTATATGAAATTACGGTTTAGTTATAGCATTAACTTTATACACCTATTGTCTGGAGCCTTCTCTTCCTATAAAAAATCTAAAGCATGCTCTGATGTATGTTATGCATCGTTACGTTTGAGTGTGCTCATATTGCCTTCAAGTTTTTCTAGGGTAAATTTTACACAATTATACTTTGTTTATAATTCCAGATGACAAGCAATTAATTGTCTACCGGTACTAATGCTGTTATATTGTTTTATCTTATTAAAATGGTTTAGAAGTTTATGTACAATAAATAGATAGTAAACATCATAACACACTCCAGACAGAATAATTCTTAACATAGCCTTCAGATGATGAGATCCTACTCTATAAGGGAAGGGAAGGTATGCTAATGGCAAACAAAATAGGGAAAGAAGAAAGAACAATGAAGAATTGAGATTAGGAAGAATCAGCAATGAGGAATTGTAGAGGTTAGGATTAGCGTCTGTAGGCGGGTCGAGAATAAGGACCTCTGCCTTTCTCTTCTTGAAGGAGCTGATAGTAGCTGAAGACAACAAACCACAGGTACACGTAGATGGCTGAAACAAAATTTATGTTGGAAGAATAATACTCAAATGGTTGTTAGGAAAAGACCGATTGCAAAGAACTTCTTCAGTACGTTTAAATCCTTAGTCATATCTGGACAAGTGGCTAAAGTACTCGGTTTGGTTCTGAGAGAACTCAGTAGCTCTTGATAGTTGGAAACTAAAATATTAGATCTCTACTTGATTGTCAGACTTTTAATAAATGAAAGTTTATTTTACCAATGCTTCAGTCAAACCACAATGGGTACTTAATACCTGCTTCTGAACCATCGTGCCTCAAGGTGTTATAGTCTAGACTTAACTACAACCTGGTCATGTTAGTTTTTTGTCAATGTACCTTGGTGCGTTTTGTATTTTTTGTAAACGTGAACAGAACTGTTCTAATTTTATGAGCGATTTAACCCTTAAAAGGAATTCCAGATCCTCAAAGTTACTATTTGTATATCTTGATATGTATCTGTAGTATTAAGGTAGGCTTTAGTAGCAAACTGTGGGTTCAAGGAATCAGTATCTAGAAATAGTTTCAATCTCAATGTTCCTAGAACATACTATTGAAGTATTAAACTACTTTGCGCTATATGTGGTTTTCATGGGTTTAACGGTCTACCGCAAGCCTCAAGACTTTTCCAGCTAAAAATCAAGCCTTACTTGTTGAAAAGCCCTTGTTAATAATCTGTTAAGTAGCTCTGTACAATATCAAAATCAGATTTATCCAACCAGGTTTTACTAAAATTCCAGTTTTTTAATCAGTGGAATCAGCTATTCATCAATAACAGTTCTCTTTCTAAATACCGAATTTGTATTAGATCACTGGTACCGTACATTAGTTTTTGTAAATTAATATTTTTATTAATTTACTAAAGTCGTAATTTTAAAAAATTTTAAACTTTTTACTATTTATTTATCTTGTGTTGTCATTGCGTATTAGTTCTCTTTTATACACACATAACTTCCCTATCAACACAATAAAGTTTCTGATAACACTAAAGTTTGCTCCAAGGTTATTGCAGATTACTTCACTTCATGTTTACTTCTCTTTGCTTACCTCTGTTACTAACCATAACGATCGTTGAAAACAAAGATATCTTACAATAGGTTAAGTCAAGGATTTGATTTTATTAGAAAAAATAGCATAATATGCTATATCAAACTGATGCCTTTCAACTTCCAAAAATAAATTTTAGAGAAAGGTTCTAATGAAAATTTAATGGACACTCATCATTGGCAAAAATATTTTCAAATACAGTACTAAATTTTACTACTCATGCATGAAGGGTCTGAAATGCATTTATTTCTCAAAGTTTTCCCTGCAATCTTTATTTTTATACACAACATTATGAGTGTCCTAGAACTTTTCATCATCATTGTCTTAATTTTCAACTTTACAAGATGTAAGGCAAGAAAGTAAAACTTAAAATTTGCAAAGTTGTACAATTATATTATGCTATTCAGATTTTACACTAGTCTGAGGAAAATTGTGACAATTCATTGTTCTACCTCTGAAAAAGTACCTCCTATAACTTAGTTAAACACTCATCTTTGGTGATGGTGAGTTTAAATCACCTAACTGATTATTATGGACACTAATACCAAGGAATAAAAACCCTTTAAGAAGCGCAATGCTTTTGTAAAAAAATCTGTCTGGGAATACTTGAATTTTCTATAGTTCCCGCGGCGGCCGCTAGGTAGACCATCGCGAGCGCACGACCAAGTCAGCTGACTGAATGAGAGAGCATGAGACAAAGAACTTGCTTAGAAAGATAGAGAGATAGAGTAGCGCAGTTGCCGCCCGAGCGATCTTAGGGGCCGCCTCGCAAAGCTCATTTTGGCGGCATAATTCCACTCTGACTATTCCCCATAAGCATTTCGCTTCTTGTATTCATTGCTAATACCCAGTGCTCGATTTGCGGTGGAACAGAGTTCCGGTACCTACCTCTCTTTCGGAAAGATAAAAATATTGGCATAAATAGGTAGGTACATAAATAAGAACTAAACACATTAATAGGTTACAGGTTCCAGCACCTCTTTTTTTACAAATCGAGCACTGCCAATACCCATTATCAATTGCGGATAATCAAACAGCTAACGGTACTATGTTTGTACTTCTACTGTTGTGCTGGTGCTACTATCATATGGTTTTATTTAAGAGCTTTTATGTTTTTATTCATACGCTATTTGTGTTTGACTATCGGTACTTTACTGTTCTGTGGGTGGATTTTATTGCGTTTTATAGGATTAACTGGGTTTGTGTAGGGTGTAGCCTTGATGTAATGTAGTATATTTTACTAACCTGAGGATGGAGTCAGATTCCAAGTCCCGAAACGTCGTAAAAACTTTGTTCCTTATTGATCGTGATGGAAAATTACCACAATAATCTGTTTGATGTATTAGGTTTACTTGTGGTCAGTAGTTTGATTACTGAACGTGTAATTGACCAATGTAAACTTAAAAATCAAAATTGATTACCGAAACCAAACAAATCTTAGCTCAAAAATCTAAATCACTTACCGACACTTGATAGTCCGAACAGTAGCCACAGGCAGGCTCCAAAGGCTTGTTTGTGCATGAAGAAAACAACGGCTGTGTAGATAACTGAGATGGCAAGACCAATGGCTAACATGATGGCGAGAATAACCCATGGCAACATCATAAACCGGTTCCTCTGCGGAAAAGATTCAAGTTATTGTAAAGTTTGTCAGTAAATTTATAGTAATATTTTTGTTTAGGAATTATTATGATTATTGAACATAACATCCCTCATATCGTAAATTACCCCCGCCGCAGCAAACCTGCCTTCTAAGCGAATTTCCATTTGCCTAAATTGATTTTCAATTAAATCTATTTAAATAACATCGGGTTTAACGAGTCCTAGGTTTGCTGCTACAGGGAAACTAAAAGTGTGTTTTTGTACAATTTTAATAGCTTAGTAAAAAATAAATAAATTTGCCAAGTTTAATCAAAATATATCCATAAACAAGCAAACTACAACATTTTACAATATTCTCCAGAAGAATAACATGGGAATTTTATAATCACATTTTATGTAATTTTCTCCGTAACTAATAACCGTACAAAAACACTTTGATATGCTAAAGTATTTGTTTTCTTAAGCTCTTTAAAAATGTCTAGAGAGAAATTGGGAAATTTTATGTTTTGAGGGTCAAAAATTAGAAAACCCAATTTTTTAAAGGTTTTATAGTATAACTAGCTGTGTACCCGTTCTACGCACGGGGATCTTATAATATTCAGTTGAAACCTTCTTATATAAAGAACAGCAGTTGGTTTGCATATTTTAAGATATGCTGGCCAAACTATTATACATAGCTTCATTTTATGTTGTTTTTTGTTGTTCCGGATCGGTATGACAATCAATAAAAGGTTAAATTACCTCTGTGTCTGCCGGTCGATCCTATAACGGTAGGCTTACTTTTATTTTTACTATCTGATCTCGTTTGCATGGCTCAATCACGTCCTGGTTGAAGTTCGTTCGCTACGCTCACTCACCTGTATGTTGGAGCTCGTTCGCTGCGCTCACTTTCCTTCAGGTTAGCTCGTTCGCTACGCTCACTTGCCTTCAGGTTAGCTCGTTCGCTACGCTCACTCGCCTCCAGGTTGCAAATTAGCTGTTGTCATAAATGTAAAAGAAATAATAGTGCTAGTGCTGCACCCTGTTGGTAATCCTTGTAACTTTAATGCTATTGAACATCACAGAACAGAACCAACTTGTTTAATTGAAACAGCTGTTAAGATTCAATAATTTCATTTCTCATAAGGTTAACATGGGCTTCCAGAAATTCCACGTCAAAAATCGACAAAAACTTGATTTTCAAGGGTTTACTGTTAAATATCTAACTGTCTCATATTCGATGAAATACGTCTAAAACCATCTCATATATGTATAGTATTTGGAAAATAAGTTTCAGGCGGGACAGTGCTATAGTTATTGAGGAGTAGTTGTAATAAAGTGCGTATTTTAGCGTTACCAAGAGAATGACAGATAGACAGACAGACAGATAGACAGACAGACAGACAGAAATTGAGATAAGGTTTGATTCGGTTTCTCTGACCTATGAAATGTAAAAATAACCAAAAAGTTCATTATTCTAAGCAATGTACAGACAAAACTCTAATTTTATTTATATAGATAGTTCAAATTGATCAGGTGCTGATTCATTTTGGAGTAATAAATGTAAACAAAACAAAATAGAATACTCCGTAAATATCAAGCTCAAGCTTTACTATAAGGATTCGGTATACTAAACTGTTTGTTGATTAAGCTCTACAAAGTTTCCTGAACTCAGGAATTCTTGATTTATAAAGATTTTATAGATATTTAATTTGGTTGTTCCAAAGAACAAATTAAAAATATTTTTGAGAACTATCTTCATCTAATACTTACCTTAAGTGCTCCAATGATAAGGAGAACTGATATCAACATTGTCATCACTAAGTTGATGGCAAGGATTATTTTTACTGAAAACAAACAAAAAAATTAAGGTTGATTAGAGAAATTAACCATAATTATTTGTTTAAGTTTATTATTAGAGATAGGTAAGCTTATGGCGTAAAAGTATTACTGTAAAAATTTCCCATCACTACTTGGAAAACCACAATTTAAAGACTTTGAGATCTGAAAATTAAAAGGATTTACATAGCATTAAATATCACTGTAAAAAAGAGTGGAAATATTATTTTAGTCACTACTGTATCTAATAATTATAATCTAATAATACCTACCTATAGGTATATATAGTCAATGCTAGTGGCTCATTGCACTAGATGTTACTTTATAGTGAAAAATTTGTTTACAGCTGGCACATATGGATGGGATTCTATTTCGGAATCCAAAAGTCAACACTCAACACTACAACTTGAATATATGGGAATAGAATTTAATCTTCACAGAGTGTATCTAAATTGTTAAAAATTAGGTTTAATGCTTAAGTCTGTTATCCTGTAACCAAAATATTCATTTTAACAAGGTAACGTACTCATAATAACCAAGGTTTTCCGTTTCATACCAAGATTCTCTCTGGTACGAAGAAACTCTTTGGTACCAAGATGCTCCTTTGATACCAAAGATACTCTTTGATACCAAAATTCTCTTTTGATATCAAGATAATCTTTGATGCCAAGATAGTCTTTAATACCCATGATACGCTTTGATACCCATTATACTCTTTGGTACCAAGATAATCTTTGATAGCAAGATAATCTTTGGTACCAAGATACTCCTTTGATACCCAGATACTTACCAATGTCAGATGGAAGTGTGTCAATAACTATCGTCTGCAGTTTTACATCTGTGACCAAGATGAAAACAAGTGTGACAGCTCCAATAACCTGAATCACAAAAATTCCAATTATTTTGTTGTCCTTTATTTGTCATGACAGCATTTTTTTTAACTAATTTGATATTTTAAAAGATTTAAGTAATTAACACTGTAGTTCTTGGGATGTGGATATATAGTTTGCATAAGAAAATACTTACGTTGCCTGACAAAGTGGCCTTCCTTGCACTGATTATAGTACAGCAAGTAGCTAAATTACTTCACTTACTTATTTTTGCTGCACTCGAAAATTTTGTTACCAACGCCAACCAAGGGGTTTTGGATATTTTGTTGTTAACTGCAGTGTAAACACAGGGTACAACAAGTGCTGTATACGTGTTTTAACAACTTGTTTAATTAAACTGATTTCTGATGTTACACTGGAAATTGTTAAAAACGTCAAAATGTTTTGACATTAAAAAAAACGTAAATGTTCAAAACTATGGCGTAAACAAGGCTTTAGAACTGGACATGTAAAGCTTAACATAACTATTTGTAAAAAACTGAAAATGGTAATAATATTAGTACTGATGAATCTACAAAGGATTAACACAAAAGCATGGTTAAAAGGTAGAATTTTTTAAATTCCTGAGACTGAGGAAACAAGTGGTGTATGCAATATTCTGATAAGTTAAAAATAAAAGTGGAAAGTTTTGTAAACTTACCACTCCTAAGGCTCCACTTATAATCGTCCCAACCTTCAATGAGGCACAACCACAACAGGAATTTAACATAGGCATCTGGAAAACAAAAATAAATTTTAGTATACAATATTAGTTTGCTTATGCTAACGCAACTTTAGAAAAAATTGCTTGTATGCATTTTTAGAATACTAGCACCTTATTTAAGGTATTATAACGTTTTATTAAATTCTCTCTTAACTCCTAATTATTTTTTTATAATTATTAAGATTGCTTAGTCATATTGAATCAGTGATAGGCATGTATTAATAATTAACATAAGATCGGTGTGCAAATGGATTTAATGTTATTTGGTCCAGTGTGTTATGCAAATGGAAAGACGGACAACATATCTATATATTACAGTAATAGGAAAGCATGTTTCTTTCAAACCTTTATTGTTCTCAGCTCGTGTGCATTGCAGGGAAAATCGACGCATACTGTTAGAAAGATATTTATTGCCTATAGATGTGCAGAATTTCTTTATAAATTAAAATATACTCAAAAATATGCACAAAAATAATGAATTAAAAAAATGACATGGGCCTTATGGGTATCCATGCTGGAACGAAATATAAACAGAAAATCAAAACAAATTGAATAAATTCCAAACACATGTGTTATTTAAAGCGAGGGGGGGGGGGAAGTATAGAAGTCTGTACATTACATATTTTTGGTCGAGATTTCGACCACTCGACGACCTCTAGCTTTAGCAAATTTCCCTATAGGAAAGTAGCTATTACCGTAGGTGGCACGATAAGACCTAGACCCGGGACCGATTTACTTTTTCATTTTGATGTCCCCAGAGGCCAAAAACACCATTTGTTCAAATTTTTATATATGTGTATATATATATATATTTATATATATATCTAGTATATAAAATTCTCGTGTCACAGTGTTTGTCTGCAAACTCCTCCGGAACGACTTCACCGATCGTTATGAAATTCGGTGTGTAAATTCTGTAGGTATGCGAATCGGACGTAAACTATTTCCCGTTTCGAAATTCTTAAAAGGGCTCCGCCCCAGTGGCTCTGGAGTTTCCCATGTTAACCTTATGAGAAATGGAATTAATGAATCTTAACAGCTGTTTCAATTAAACAAGTTGGTTCTGTTCTATGATGTTCAATAGCATTAAAGTTACAAGGATTACCAACAGGGTGCAGCACTATTATTTCTTTTACATTTATGACAACAGCTAATTTGCAACCAAAAGGTGAGTGAGCGTAGCGAACGAACTTCAACCTGGAGGCGAGTTAGCGTAGCGAACGAGCTAACCTGAAGGCAAGTGAGCGCAGCGAACGAGCTCCAACCTAAAGGTGAGTGAGCGTAGCGAACGAGCTCCAACCCAAAGGTGAGTGAGCGTAGCGAACGAGCTCCAACCCAAAGGTGAGTGAGCGTAGCGAACGAACTTCAACCTGGAGGCGAGTTAGCGTAGCGAACGAGCTAACCTGAAGGCAAGTGAGCGCAGCTAACAAGCTTCAACCTAAAGGTGAGTGAGCGTAGCGAACGAGCTCCAACCCAAAGGTGAGTGAGCGTAGCGAACGAGCTCCAACCCAAAGGTGAGTGAGCGTAGCGAACGAACTTCAACCTGGAGGCGAGTTAGCGTAGCGAACGAGCTAACCTGAAGGCAAGTGAGCGCAGCGAACAAGCTCCAACCTAAAGGTGAGTGAGCGTAGCGAACGAGCTCCAACCCAAAGGTGAGTGAGCGTAGCGAACGAACTTCAACCAGGACGTGATTGAGCGATGCGAACGAGATCATCTTGAAAATTAAACGTAACGGTACTTTCTTTCCATCGGTCTGTCTTAGGGGAAACCTATAACTTAGGCGATACGAAGTTCGCCGGGTCAGCTAGTATATATATATAATACGTCCGTGAACGCGATAAAACTTGAGTAATTTTTGTCCGATTTTTATGAAATTTGGTTTAAAGGTGTAAAGCGGAATAAACTTGAATGAGTTCGCGAACCAGCACGATCGGACCATGGAAACGGGGCTTTACGGGGGGATTTATGGGGTAAAAATTGGTTTTTCTCACTTTTGACCCTCAAAACACAAAATTTCCCGATTTCTCTTCAGACCTTTTTAAAGAGCTTAAAAAAACAAATAATTTAGTATATAAAAGTATTTTTGTTCCATTATTAGTAACGTAGAAAATTAAAAAAATTGTAAATTTAAAATTCCCATATGTTATTCTTATGGAGAATATTGTCAAATGTTGTAGTTTGCTTGTTTATGGATATATTTTGATCAAACTTGGCAAATTTATTTATTTTGTACTAAGCTATCAATATTTTACTCAAAAACACACTTTATTAGTTTCCTTGTAGCAGCAAACCTAGGTACTCGTTAAACCTCGTTATTATTAAACCGTTATTATTATTAAACCTCGTACTCTCGTTATTAAAATATATTTAACTGAAAATCAATTCAGACAAATGGAAATTCGCTTAGTTGGCAGGTTTGTTGCGGCGGGGGTACAGTATTTATTATAGTGTAGGTTTGTAAGACACAGTCCCTTGCAACATAGGATGAGTTGTGAAAGAGAGGGGGGGATTTGATAAATAAGAGCTGTTTTAAAGAGATGAGATGTTGGCAAACTGAACCGCTAAATTTAACCTCAACAATCATCTGTCCTTGGACCACAGACCACCGAACTGACAGTGTTGCAGGCGGTCAAAGACGTTTGGATAAAGTAAATGAACCTTTAGTTGTTTAGTTCACTGTCCTCCTCTCAACAAATGCAACTATGGCAAATTTTGCCTCGGGAAATGTAAAGAAAATATTATTACTTGTGATTCCAGAGACAAGTTCACAAATAATTTTCTGGCTTGGTGCATAATTTCGAGCAAATAATTATTGATTACAAATTCGATACATAGTTTTAAGTTAACTTGGTAAAATGTTCTCGATTTTTTGTAAATTTTTATATACTTTGATTACACAACTATTTGTTAGAATAATTTGTATACACCATATGCACGTAAAAATATTTATGTAGGCTATAATTTTCTCGTATTAAATCTATCAACAAATATTTTTTTATGTACTTGAACGTGTTAGTGAAATAATGATCAACCCTTTAACAAAACTGGAGCAGCAGGGATTTCTTTTATGTAACTTAGAATGCATTTCAATGTGAGGTACATGGGCATAGTTTTGCCATAGACTAATTAACACAAGGGCCGTATGTTTTATATGGTTTTATCTACGGGTTTTGCTGACGGCCCGACTGCATAGAGTGGAAAACTATCTTTATAATTTACTAGCTGTAACCCGCGGGCTTTGCCCCGTTTAACTTCTTAATTTTCAAGATTATCTCGTTCGCATGGCTCAATCACGTCCTGGTTGAAGTTTGTTCGCTACGCTCACTCACCTTTAGGTTGGAGCTCGTTCACTACACTCACTCACCTTTAGGTTGGAGCTCGTTCGCTGCGCTCACTTGCCTTCAGGTTAGCTCGTTCGCTACGCTAACTCGCCTCCAGGTTGAAGTTCGTTCGCTACGCTCACTCACCTTTTGGTTGCAAATTAGCTGTTGTCATAAATGTAAAAGAAATAATAGTGCTGCACCCTTTTGGTAATCCTTGTAACTTTAATGCTATTGAACATCATAGAACAGAACCATACAGAACCAACTTGTTTAATTGAAACAGCTGTTAAGATTCAATAATTCCATTTCTCATAAGGTTAACATGGAAAACTCCAGAGCCACTGGGGCGGAGCCCGAAAGGATTTTTGAAATAAGAATATGCCTATATGTTAATCGGGAATGTGAGCTATCATCATGCCAAATTTCAGCCCAATCCGACCAGTATTTTTCGCGTTCACTTGTCACAAACATACATCCATACATCCAAACTTTCTCATTTATAATATTAGTAGGATCATGTGCCGTTCATGACACATATGTGGCAGTATTTCGAATCCAGCACTCAGACGCAAAATGAATTAATTTTTATTAGATCCCCATCAGCATTGTTGTTCCATGTGGGTATTCTTTTTTTCAAATTTGCTGTAAAAAACTCAGATAACTCTAAATCAAATTAGTTTAATTAAACATTTTGATTTGTTTTTGTTTAATTTTGAAAATTATGGCTCATAAATTGGAAAAAATTGTTTAACATACAAAGATGTAAGTACTGTATGCTAAACAATAATATTAAAACAATTAAAGACAATATTTTTGGGTGAACCTTTTTGTAATTTCATAACATTAAGTGAAAAATCTCAGACCGTCAATTCGATTGTGTTTTTTAAAGTAAACTTTTATAGTGTGTGACCGGCAATTTTAATAAATTTAATATATTCCCTTATTTTGTTGTAGCTTCATTGTGTATATTCCTACAGATAAAAAGAAATTGAGCAGTAGGATATTACTTTGGACAACTCTGAGAGAAATTAAATTTCAAATAGCTAGGTTACAAGATTTATTAATAACTTTACAACTTATAATTTGGTAACGTGAAAAGTATTTGTATTTTACGAGTTGGCGCAAAAATAATGTATGTGTTGACAAAACATTTTAAGATAATGGTCGTCTGAGTTAAGTCTTCACCACAAGCTTTATCGGTTCTTTACACAACACTGGGTCCGGCTATGTTTGGGTTTGAGGTTAAAGTAACGTGTTTTGAAACTGAATAGCGTGGTCGATGCGGTTTTACTTCATCCTTCCTTTGGTTCCTAAAAAGAAAGGAGGAAGTGGGTTGGAGTTGGAGCGTGAGAAACGTCCTGGAACTCGGTGTTCAAATCCTACAATTATTCACAAATCAATTTTTCGTTATACTGCAGCAAAAACAGCATTTTTTTTATACATAGGTTGTGGGTCTAAAGTAGCATTTTTACTCTCTCTCTTTGGGAGTAAAAATCAGTTTTTGTAAACAGTTGTAAACAATCGCATGAATCAATATTATTTAAAATTGCCAAATTTGATAAAAATATATTCATAAACGAGCAAACTACAACAGTTTATTTATTCTCCATAAGAATAACATGGGGGAGCGGTTTTTATGAAAGCCTGATTTCTCCTAAAAGTTTGTATAACTAATTTAAATTATCTGTAACTATCTATCCTTACATTTACGTGTATGTCCTTATCCTTAAAAGAGTGTCACAGATCATTGGACGACAATATTTAACTCGTTTGTAAATAGTTAAACTAATTGTTCTCGTTGTCAGAGTGAATCATCAGTATTGTTTACAATTCTATAATCTATTTTTTTACTGACACAGGCTACATACGAGTTTGTTCAATTATTTTACAAAATAAATCGAAATGCTTAGGTACCAAAAACAATTAGTTTTCTCGTGTTTCGCAAAGGGGTGGAGAAAGGAAGAATTTAATTCCCTGTAACATTAGTTTAATTATTGCAAGAAAATAATTACAGATACAGTATCAAAAAATGTTTATAAAATCCAATATTTGCTCGATTTAATCAGGTGTAAAACACAGTACTAAATAATATTTCTGGAAACAAACCTAGCATTGCTTATAGTAAACAAACCAAAAGTAACCATTTTATGTTTTGTTTTGTTTGGTGTCCTTATGGTAACATACTTTCCATCTTTAAACACACATTGGGTCTGGGGCAAAACCCCAAAATAGAACGTAAAAATCCTAATAATAGTATGAAACTCTTAAACACACAAGCTTTCTTTTTGTTAAGTTTAGTCAAAGTAATCCAGTCAGTGTGAAAGCATAGTGGAGAACTCAAGTTCAGTTCCCATTTTTTATATAAGTAAGGATGTGTCATAGGTGATAGCAATAATTCTTTCAATCCCTAAAACGATCTTGAGGAAATATTTCCTTTCAAACTAAAAGTTTTCATTTCACAAATTGATTTAGATAATTAACAGAACGTTTACAGATAAGCACTATGCAAAATTACTCCATCAGAGCTGTAAATTACATTACCTACCCTTTTAATAGCTTGTGACATTTTCCTAACAAAATTCAAACTTTGATCACGTTTACAAAGAGTTCGCGCACCAGCTCGCGTACGCACAGACTGAACGGATTTTTAGACGGTGACGTCATAGTTTAAATTCGTCCACCCGCTAAAATAACTTAAATCAGCTGTTGTGGGAAATAGGCCAAACGAAGGGCCAATAGAGAGCCTTCATGCGGACGATTAAACCAATAGCGTGAGAGTGTTTATGTAATTAACCAACTCAGAGTAAAAATTTCTATAATTTTAGATTAGTACATTTTAGACATTTCAGATAATTACGGGAGCGTTTCATAAACTCCAAATTTCACAAACTCCAACGCTTAAAATATTAAATAAACAGAGTGGTTCATAACCTCCAATTTTCATAAGCTCCAAATCTATAACATTCAAATAATCACTGTTTCACAATGTCCAAATTTCACAAACTCCAACGTTAAGATACCAAATAAACAGTGCGGTTCATAATGTCCAAATTTCATAACCTCCAACGGTACAGTCTGAGCCAGAAGTCTCTACAGTGGTTGCCACAGTCAGATAGCAGGCACCGTTCGCCAGCGCTCAACTACTGATTTATACGTGCATTTTATGATTGAAGAACACTCAGCTGTGTGACTCAAATATGTGTTAGCACACAATGTGCAAATCAAATTTACATTTTTACATTTTCAATACCTTTAATTCAAGCTTTCAGCTGAGTTTCTTAACTGTTCCGTCTCTCAATTAAAAAGCCAATTATTACATTACAAATATCGTAAGAGATTTTTTTTACCGATGAAAAATTTTAAAACATATAAATATGTTTTATAAGTATATTTTCTAATAGCTGTTAAAATTTCATAATGATTACATCAGTTGTTTTTTTGTTATGTGTAAAAATAGCCCTTTGTTAGAAAAGTGCCGAAAACCTTGTACTTTATTCATTCTACCCACTAAAAGGATGAGTTTAAACTACATAAAAAGGTAGAAACTAACATACATAAACGCAGAAATACATTTTTATAAGTAGGATTTAACTTATACATCATATTGTAGGTATACTGGTCACGTTTCAATAAAAGCTCATACTCGAGTATTTACACTTTTTTACTCACAGCAGTCTCGTTTCTCTTTGCAACTTAATGTGGCTAGTTCAATAATGTTAAAGTTTTGACAAGGTGATAATTTATATTTTGATTGCCTTTTCAGTGGAGAGCTAAGCATTGTATACCTTTTATTTACCAATAAAAATGCGTAATCACAAACAGTGGAGCCTTTGACTGTCGTATAAAATATTAAGGTATGAAGTTGTTGTTGTTGTAACGATTATTGCATATTCTATTTAAAAATAGTGTTCAATGTAAATAATTCAACAAGTTATTAGATAGGTACCTTTTATAGTTTTTAGATTCTATTTAGCAAATTTCCCTATAAGAAAGTACAGTAGCTATTACCGTAGGTGGCATGGTAAGACCTAGGCCCGGGACCGATTTACTTTTTGATTTTGATGTCCCCAGAGGCCAAAAACACAATTCGTTAAAATTTTTATATTTGTATATATATGTATACAGCTGTCCGTGTGAAAGCATGCATTTTCTAAATTTAAACCGACGACAGTCAGGGATTGCCCTGGTGTCTTAAAATGGTTATTGCGAAAGCAAGACAAAAAGGAAATTTTAGTTTCTTAAATTCAGAGGGTAATTCGGATGAAATCATCATTATTCTTTGGATTATGACTATTTCTCCTTTAAACTTACCACTGATAATTTTTGCTTCAATCATTTTTGGTGTCATTTTTAGCGAATTTCCTTATAGGGAAATAAGCTATTACCGTAGGTGGCATGGTAAGACCTAGACCCGGGATGGATTTACTCTTTCATTTTGATGTCCCCAGAGGCCAAAAACACCATTCGTTAAAATTTGTATATATGTATATATTCAATTCAATTCAATTCAAAAAATTTTAATTAATGCAATTTTTTTATTAAATATATAATCCCTTGTGACATGCAAAGCACGCGCGGGATGAAAAACATATTTTACCTACGACCGTTTTTTAAAGTAGCCATTCCAGTCCAGTTCTTAGAATTGAAAAGTTTCACTTTACAGCTGTTTACTTTCATATCCGCATAGTTTCATTTCATATCCGCATAGTTTTCTCATATCCACACAGGTAACGGACCAATGAGGTTCAAGTATTGAGAGAAAAGAATTAAAATTGTAATGCTTCGAACGTCAACTAATCAGCTGATCAGCTGATCAGTTGACCAATTTAATTGTTGATCCGACTTGTTCATGTTGATACTCGCGTATTCTTAATTAAGTTGGTGGAAGTCCAAAAATAAATTAAATATTTGCCGAATTGTACCTGATACAATATTATTTATGGTAAGAATGCTGCTAGCAATGTAATATTTAACGAAGTTTAACAAACACGTAATTACAGGAAATCAGCTGATTATACAACAAGTCGTTGCATCACTTTCAGTGGCAATGACAATACACGAAAACATAACCTCTCTAAAAAGTTATCAGTAGTTATTGTTAGTAATTAAATCCAGATTGATAGTAATTAAAAAACGGTCCTAGGTAATTAGTGTACGCAACTCGCGTTAATAGTCTTTACGACACTCGTAGAAGTTGTTAAGGCACTCGCCAAGGCTCGTGAAAATTTTCTACTCGTGTCGTAAAGACTCACTTAACGCAATCGTTGCGTAAACTACTATTTCTTAATACATTTCATTTTCTTGTTTCTGGCAGAAAAAAGCTCATTTTTCCTTCTTTGTCACTTTAACAGAACAGTGAGTAGACATTTCCTATTGCAACAGTTTTAATCATATAAATAACACTTAGACAAATTAGAATAATTTAATAAGAACACGGTTTTTAGAAAGACAATAAATTCTACATGCAAATATAAATAGTTATTTATCTAAAACAAAGCTAAAAATAAGTTACAGATTAGTTATGCTATATTATGATTGATAAAAAACAACAAAGCTTTTGACTTTATCACAGACCTTTTATCATTATAAACTTCATTACCGAACATTTTTACAAACGCATTAAAAAGTTTTGGACCAAGACAACAAAACTGATGCCTACTAGTTTCCTTTTTAAAAAAGCTTTCTGCTAACAAGTAATATTGTGCTGATCGAGATATTCTATTGACAGGTTTCATTTTAAACATGTACGGATATTAAAAAACAAACATAATCAAACAGTATACGTGCAATTGATTGAAGGTTAAAAGCTCTTCATGTTCAAAAAGATAACTTACTCTATCATATTTTTTAAATCCAAAAACAGCCCTCAGTGCATGTCTTTGGTTCGTGATGACAGGTTGTAATATGGTAGGATAAGTACCCCCATAATGTACTATTCCATATCTCATCACACTTTCAAACCAGGAGACGTATACCTTTTTTAAATGCTCACTCCTAATGTTGTCTCTTAAGTGATATAAAGCATAATTTATTTTCCTTAATTTAATTGAAAGTTGTTTTACATGGTGCTCACACTTTAAATGATGATCAACAAACAATCCTAGATATTTAACATATTCTACTACTTCAATACAACTGCAAGAACAATTATACAAACAAGGGTGTTTACGGTACAATAAATTAAATTCATTTTGTAAATTTTCTCGTGATTGATTATAATGTTTTGAGTGAAGTGCTTGATTTGCAATTTGACAACCCTCAAGGAGTGGTTTTGGGCCCCATTATTTTTTGATATATATAAACGACTAGCTGGAGCTTGATTTATGTTCAAAAATATTTGCCTATGCTGATGACACAGCTCTTGTGTGCTCAGCTTTCAATAAAAGGTCGCTGAAACTAAAAATAAGAAAAGATTTAGACAAGATATCAAATTGGCTAATTGAAAACAGATTGTTAATAAACTCCTTCGAATCGAATTGTTTATTTTTCGATGTTTATATATAACGATGTACGGAGGGATAATGCTACTTGATATTTAGATTCAGTGATATCACTACCGACCGTCCCCCCTCCGCGCCACTTCCGGCGTTCGAGGCCGGGTAGCACTGGTACACTGGTAGCAGTTCCTCACTCCGTATTTACTCGAGCCGTGCGTCGATTTTAGGATAAGTAAAAACAGTCGATGAAGCGTAGAACCATTGCAATAATTAAATGCTGCTAAGTTTCATCGTAGGTGAACGCATTGCTTAGAATCTGTTTTAAATTACACAAGAAATGACAATATGTATACATGTACTATAGGTCGGCCGCTTAAAAAACGACCTCCTCCATAATTGGTTTAGCATTAGCGCGCAGGTCGTTTTCTAAGCGGCCGAACTATAGTGGATGATCTGCTAATATTTTTAATGGTTACGTAACACTAAACATTACGTCAAGTTATTTATAGGCCTACTGTGAATTTATATTTATTCTGTGATTTACCTTTCGGGTTTTGGACGACTTTTAACTCGATGTATAAAAAGTATATGTAACATAGTTACTACTCGGTGTAATATCTATGTGCATAGTTTAATGCATAAAATAGCCTGTATTTTTTAATTTTTTACAAACAATGTTTCTGTAGATTGCTTAAACAGGTAGGGCAATTTAGCATTTTGCAACGTGTAGAAAGAAACTACAATCGTACGCGTGCCGTATGGACTAATGTTTAATTACCTAAGGACAAAATAAAAATTAATTTATCTTTTACTGACTTAAAAAAAAAAACTGCAAAATCGGCATGTAAACTGCGACTCAATTAGGCCTTTTACCATCACTAACTTTAACAACAAAACCAAGATACCAGAAAACGCCAAATAAAATTTTAACACAAATCACTAATTTCACTAATTAATTATGGATTCAATATTAAATGGAAAACTCCTGCTTTGTTTTTATTTCAAAAACATTATAATGAGATTATATATTCTAAACGTTTCTGTAAACATTTGACGCTTACTTTAGTGTTTAATCAATATTTTGTTTAAAGTGGAATGACCTCAACGGCTACTCTGGAACTAACCTGAGAATTAAACTAAAAAAGTTCGTAGAGACAATATATTTTTTCACTAAAGCAATTACTATGACAAGTTCCAGTGAGCGGGATTTATTAATTTTGTTT